CGTTAAAAAAAAAAAAAAAAAAAAGTATCGGTAATTGGTATCGGCAAGTGCATGAGGGGGAAGTACTTGGTCCTGAAAAAGTGGCATCGGGACATCCCTAATGTAGAAGAATCAGATACTTTGGGTTTCAAACCAATGAAGGCCGACACTACAATTCTAGGACACATCCTGCGGTGTATAAGACTACAAAACATCTTCATGTCTCTGGGCTAATCGTACATTCAGTTATCTGTGAAGGAACTATAAAATCTTCCAACATCTGACCTCCCCTATGCACGCCATCCCCGGACCACTCACCCTCCTGCCTTGCTCCTCGGTGCGATAGGCATGGCGGTACAGACAGGAGAAGATGGCACCCGCGGGCATGTTCTCGCTGGTTTCGTTCCACCCGTGTGCATAGCAGAGGCGCGAGGCGTCACCCTGACATTTTCGGAACAAGATGGGGTCCAATCTGAAGGAAGAGAGAGAGATCAGAGCTGTATCAGCCTTCTCTACCCAACATGAAAGTGCAATCAGCAGAAGGTGTCGTCTCTTACTTCCAGTCCCGGGAGATGAAATACTGCAACTCCAGCAGCCGGTGCTCACAGTCCTCCACCATCTTCTCCGTGTACAGGTGCTCCATGAGACACGAGAGGATCCTGGAAGAGACACGGATATCAGTGCCACGGACTCTCACACAAGTCCCCGCAATGAATGGAGGAAAGCATTTGCTTCCAGGTCACTTCTCTCCGGGTCAGGTATTCTGCCGGTACCACTTCTGTCGCATCCAATACCTTCATAGATTTATCTCTCGTCAGGAAGTTCTCCTGATAAATAGCAGTGCACTTCCTGTGCCTAGGCACCCCTAATATCAGTGCACTTCCTGTGCCTAGGCACCCCTAATATCAGTGCACTTCCTGTGCCTAGTAGGCACCCCTAATATTAGTGCATTTCCTGTGCCTAGTAGGCACCCCTAATATCAGTGCATTTCCTGTGCCCAGGCACCCCGATAGTGCACAATCCTATGGCTAGGCACCCCTGATATCAGAGCCCTTCCTGTGCCTAGGCACCCCTAATATCGCTGCACTTCCTGTGCCTAGAAGGCACCCCCAGATATCAGTACACTTCCTGTGCCTAGAAGGCACCCCCAGATATCAGTGCACTTCCTGTGCCTAGTAGGCACCCCAGATATCAGTGCACTTCCTGTGCCTAGTAGGCACCCCAGATATCAGTGCACTTCCTGTGCCTAGGCACTTCTGTTCTCTAGATTCAAAGCTGTATATCTGCAGTGTGAGATCATCTAAGGCACTGCTGCCTCTGACTTTTAGTCTCGCCAGTTTCGGGGTGAGATTTGCCGATTTCATTATTGTGCTGCTCACGGTTCTCCGTGCTGGAGAGGAAGCTGAATCTTTGGACTTGCAGTGCAAGGATCTCCCTGCTTCTGCTTCATTCATTTGGAGGATGAGCACACTGACCAGGGAAGAGGAGGGGGGGGGGGCGGAGGTGAAGCTGTGTACTCACATAGGATCTCCGGAGCGGATGTGTTTGCAGGCGGTCTGGATGACAGACTCGCAGGCCTCATTAAGGGCGCGGTCTATGCGATAATCGGCGGCAGGGTCCGTCTCCTGCACTAGAGTTTGGAGCTGTAATATAGGAGCAGAAGATGAGCGACAGGGAACAGGCCCCGCCCACCCAGACTGCGTATAATCTGGAAACTGGGGCACAGGGTGGCAGTATAAAACAAGTGCTTACCGCCTGCTGGCACTTCTCCGCCACATTCCCCTTCTCGCCGCGCACCACCTTCATCAGACAGTGCAGCGTCCGCCCTTTCCGGTGCAGCCCCGAGCAGTGGTGTTCAATCTCTCCTCGGCAGCTGAGGATAATCTCCGGGCTCAGAGAGAAATCTTCCATCAGCATGCGCCTGTAGTCCAGCATCTCTCCCTGACACTCGCTGCTCACCTGGC